GTACCAATATTTGAAATATTATCACAACCAATGGGAAAATATGGTTGGACCACTGTTACAAACACATAGGGAAGAGTGTTCATGTCTACTTCAAGACCCTACAGCCCCAGGGGATTGATCTTTGCCTTGTACTCTATTCTACGTATGGTGTGAATATACAACTCCACAGCATATGTCTGAAAATGGGAAAGCATGGTTATAATGGAGGAGAGTTATAATTCGGTTTGACAGACAGACAGACTCTGCAGGGGAGTATCTTGGTTGGTGATTGTTGTTCCAGATGGTGCATGATGAAGAATTCCATCTGAAGGTTTTATTAATTTCAGTCTAAGTGGTAAAGAGGCTGGCTCTGACTGTGTTTGGTCCAGTCTGACGAGACTGACTGACACCTCGCAGCTCCCGCCATCCGTCATCGTTTGAGAATGTCTTAATTATATTATATGAAAATGAAGAGACTCGATTTTGTGCCCATTATCTATCCATAAGAGCAAACAAATGGAGCACCGCCAGGGTCATAGAGCGAGAGAGACAGAAAGACAGAGCGACACAGAGACAGAGAGAGAATCAAAGACTGAGAGATATTTTAATAATAGGATGGTTGTAATATTTGGCATTTTGATATCACCATTCCATTTTTGCAAGAAATTCTAGAGAACAGAGCACTCAAAGTGTGTGTGTGTGTGTGTCTCTGTGTGTATTATAGGTCAGGGTTGGATAATTAACCTATGATGATGGATACACAGCAATTACAGTGATGCTCATGTGACAAATCGGAGTGACAGAGGCCTGAATGTGGTCATGCATTCTCCTTAGTCTGCTCTCACAGTAAAGTCTCAGACCAAACATCCCAAACACTATCCCTTATAATGCAGTACGAATGTGTTGTAACAGTGTTTTTACAGTATATTCTATACATGCATATATTACCGGTACAACAATAATTCTGTATACAACACTTTCTTCTTTTCAATCCTGAGATGCAAGCATTTAAAACCTCTTTTACACCTCTTGTATTGTACTGTGAGCGTCTCTGTCTCTCTCTGTCTCTCTGGAATGTAGTGTAAATCAATAGTGTTAATAAAGTAGTGTTTATCAGTGTGACTGTAGTATATACAGTGGGGCGAACAAGTATTTTATACACTGCCGATTTTGCAGGTTTTCCTACTTACAAAGCATGTAGAGGTCTGTAATTTTTTATCATAGGTACACTTCAACTGTGAGAGACGGAATCTAAAACAAAAATCCAGAAAATCACATTGTATGATTTTTAAGTAATTAATTTGCATTTTATTGCATGACATAAGTATTTGATCACCTACCAACCAGTAAGAATTCCGGCTCTCACAGACCTGTTAGTTTTTCTTTAAGAAGCCCTCCTGTTCTCCACTCACTACCTGTATTAACTGCACCTGTTTGAACTCGTTACCTGTATAAAAGACACCTGTCCACACACTCAATCAAACAGACTCCAACCTCTCCACAATGGCCAAGACCAGAGAGCTGTGTAAGGACATCAGGGATAAAATTGGAGACCTGCACAAGGCTGGGATGGGCTACAGGACAACAGGCAAGCAGCTTGGTGAGAAGGCAACAACTGTTGGCGCAATTATTAGAAAATAGAAGAAGTACAAGATGACGGTCAATCACCCTCGGTCTGGGGCTCCATGCAAGATCTCACCTCGTG